AACTAGATGATTGTCAGAGGTGCATTCCCCTCAGCTCTTCTGTGATTCTATGATATTTACATAAAAGCCTTGTTGACATTTGATGTTCAAGGATATGAGATTGAAAAGCTGCAAAAAACCTCTTAGCTAAATTTTTCATAATGAAAAATGCAATGTAATACCATTAGTTTAAAACCAGCAGAACAGTAGCACGTCTGACATACACAATGCTCAAGTCTGATTAATTCAAAAGTGCTCATGAAGAAAGCAAATCCAAATTATTCTCTATGGTTTGCATGACAGATTTGCATGGGGAAAGAAAACATTCATTCTTGGGGAACTGAAAGTTGACTATATCCTCTGTTACTTATTAGTTTTCTTTCTAGAAAGCCATGCTGAGTCCCAGTTATAAATATAGCATTTTAGTGTTCTGCAGAAGAGCAGACTGCTTCTGCATCATTTAATCTCATAATCACTATGCATTTCAAATAGTATCTGCAGCTAATTTAAGCTGTTTTCTTATAAAATATAAGAGTATTTAAAAGCTGATGGTACTGATAGAACTGCTTTGGCTTTTTGGCTTTTCATTCTGTTTTGTTGCTTTATTTTGATGCTTTTACTTTTCATCTTTCTCTGTCTCCCATTGCAATAAGCAGACCTGGCATTCCTAAGAACTCTGTGGTATTGCTACATCAGCTGAAAAAGGATGAAGGGCAGAAATTAGGCAGAAAAATATAGGGAAGTTGCAAAGGATGGAAGAAGAGCAAAGGAGAGAAAGTTTGGTGAGAGTTGTGGGATTTGCTAAGTGAAGTAACCAAAGTCTTTAAAAGTGAGGGGTGGAATTAATTCTGCCTAACTTCAGATGTTTGCAACTTGAATCTTTCTGCTGGGTTGCCTTAATAGTGGAGAAAGATAAGCCCTTATACTGTGTAAGTCACCTGGGTTGTTTTAATTGTGTGCTTGAAGATGAGAGGACTTGTATCCTAGAAATGCCTCTTTCTGTCTACTGACAATACAAGGCCTAGAGGATGATTTCAAATATAAGTGTGTGCATTTACTGAATGAACATGAATTCTCTAGCACTATTTTCAGCACCTAAAGTGAAGAAAAGGAAGCTGAACATCAGAAGCAGTCTGGGCAGCTTGTACCTGACAAAGCTGAGTGTCCTAGAGCACCTGGAACACAAATTGCCCAATATATTTGTTTTGAAAGTTTTGTGCTGGTTTTCCTTTCTGTTTTCTCCAGTGGTGTCTGGGTACGAAATGCAGAGAGCATACATAGCACCATGTTGTTTGGCTTGGATTTAGGCCTATAGGGGCAACATCTCCCAAGTTCACCTGGCTGCGTGAGCCCCTTCTTCCTCAGATACTCTGGAATTACTTGATGCAGCTTGATGATGGTTGCAAAATTCCAGGTATGAGAAGATACACAAATCTTATCTGATATGTTTTTCCTTTCCATTAGCGCAGCTCTGTTGTTTCTTAGTATTACTGCAAATGCCAGAAGAACAAGAAAGATGGTCAAGATTCCTGGGAGGTCTAGATGACAGCCTAGAACTGCTATGGTGAGTATGTGTCCCTTGGGTGAACAAATCTGCATTGAGCTGGAAATACCTGGTTACAAAGCATCATTTAAGCCTGGGGGATTCATCCAAACAAGACACGTTACAGGTGAAGAGGTAATCTGATCCAACAGTGAAGCTACACAGAGAGAAAAGACAGAAAGCAGACTTGTTAATCCAGAAGTGCCTGTGTTACATAAACAAATTCTTGAAAAAATATCACTGTGGAATAGCTTTTTTTTTTTCAGCTCAAAAAGAATAATTAATAGTGGATAAAATAACAAGGAGCTCAAAAGAAGTGGTGAAAAGTGCCGTTCTGCAAAATCCCTGAAGGGGTTCTGAAAAAAACTTTTCCCACATGTCAAAGACCCAGGTACCAATTTTCTTAATAGCTGATCAGCCAGTCATGAATTCACTGTTAATGCACAATGAAAAATAACATGATTTCAACATAAATAATTTATAAGAACCAGCCATCACTGGCAATACAGATGTCGTTAAAAAAGATTCCTATCTTCTATTTAGGAAAGGACAGGCATAATTAAATTTGTTTGCTAAAAGTGAGGTGTCCTATATAAATTGAATATTATACAATTAAATTTTATGACAAGTCTTCAGTAAATTCCAGAATTCAGAAAATTCTATGGAAGTTTTACCTGCTTATGAAGTAAATTATACCTTGGAGCTTTTGTGATTTTTTTGGTGAGTTTTACATTTAGGCTAACATACTGTTTTAAATTATCTGTATCTATCCAAGTAGTAGTATTTCATATATCAATATATTATGTAACATAAAATACTAATACAAATGTTTAATGCTACAAACTAGTACATTTTAGCATGACGTCTATCAGTAAAGCATTTTTTTTAAATATTGTTCCCTACTAGATATTCAGACATGAATATCTCCTTTAGAATATCATTGTATTTAAAATACTTTACACATTACAGAGCATTTTATAACATTAAAGTGGAATTACTTGTATTATAGGGATAGGAATACAATAATTAAGTAATTTGTAAATGGGTTATAAATTCATAGGCAAGCAGTGCTCCAAATATTTATGAATGTCTATCATGCTCAAAGCTCTATTTTTTTTAAATGATAAAACAAGCCTTGATGAAATATTGCTTTGCAAATATGTTCTCTTGACAGTCAATGAACTGTAGGAATCCTACTTCATTAAATTGATTGCTTACTCCAAAAATATCTAAATTTATGGCTGTTCCTCCCAAATCCCACAAGGCAGACAGCAGCAGCCAGCCACCTGAATGCTTTTCAATCTCACAGGATCTCATTAGATGCTGAGTATGCCAGCCATGCTCCTGTTCCTGCTGCCCACATTCCTGCTCCTAAATAACCAGTCTAATTCCAGTTTTGCTGACTCCTTGACCAGGGCCAAAGTGGGCATATTGGTGTGTTGCCCTCCAAGCTCAGCTTCTGGCCATGGTCTTGTATTAGTCCTCGGTCTGGTGTATGTGGCCTGAAGCCAGCTCAAGTCTCACTCGTGTGTGGTTTCCTTTGGTGCTATACTGCAGCTCTGGGCAGTCTCTATCCCTGGCTGGTTCCTGTAATCAATAACTGTGATTGATAATTCCTATTTAAGGTCTCACTAGTACCTATAGGAATTTGTTTCTATATTCCTACCGGGGAACTGAAAACATCTACTAGCTGGTGACTAGGAAAGCAGGTAGAGCAAAGTGCAGCTTTAGGGCCCTGAGGATTCTGTAAGGAAAGATGTACAGTTTTTCAAATAATTAAAACAATAACTATTGTCTATTTAAACTTTGGTACCTTAATAAAAGACACCTTTGACAGAGCTAATATGGGATACCAGCTTCAAAGGAAATAAAAATGTGTGTAGCTTCCTGAATTTTAATTCGCTGGCTGCAACTAATTGACTATTAGCATTGTCTATGTGTACAAATATGTTCTTTACTATCATTAGCTAACTTATCACTGCGGTTTTGCTGGAGGGGGGAAGTTGTACGTTTTTTGGCTGGTGCTTTTTTTTCATGGTCATAGTGTTCTGGAAAAAAAAATTGAAGCTGATGCAGTGATAGGTGATTGTGGGCCTGAACTTCTTCATGCATTACTCAGCAACAAAAATAATGAAGCTGGCTTACACTCTGTAAGATGTTCACGTGTTGCTTTGAGCTTAGAGGCACGTTGTCAAGGTTGGTTGAAGTGTTGGGATAAGTGTCTGTACGCTGCAGGAAATATGTGAAAAAAGCAAGTTTTGAGAGTCCTGTGTCAGCAAAGGAGAGAGTTACACATCTTGCTCCAGTCCTTAGGAGCACTCCTGCGTTGATTCTGAACTGAACAGCTTGGTGCCTTTCAGCCATACCTAGAATTGCTTCTTGTTTTGATTTTTCATGCTGTTACTGTGCAGCTTTTATTTAATGGGATTATTGCCCTGGAACAGTACAATTTAAGTTCTTTTCTTCTTTAGTATGAGCCTGTGTATTTTATCTTCCTCATCTGCATCAGTCATGTTTGCTGGGAATATGCAGGCATTAAGTGGGTCACTTGGAGCGTTCCTTCCCAGTTCTCTCTCGCATTTGCTGCTTGTATGCATTGGCCCTCATGGGTAGGACAGAGCACTTACTACTCTGTTCCAGTGTTCCTGAGAACAGAGAGACATCATTCTGTACTATCATTTCTTATCTTGACAAATTGGTTTCCTCCTTCTGGAAACAGAAATTTCTGCTTGCAGCTCTGCAAACTGCAGCTTGACACCGCTTCTCTTTCTGTTCCCCCCTCCTTTCCATGGGAGCCTGGTTTGCTTTAGAAGTTACTCAGGTAGACAGGTGGCTACTAATGGCTGCTCTGTAATTTTAGGGCAAAATTTTAGATTTGTGGGCTGTGTATCCCTTTCCTAACTTCATAATTAAGGCATACTTTTAGAACACTTTTCAGGGCTATAGACCTTCCATTTAATCTGTGCTTAATCCCTGTCAAGCACAGGTGGCATTTTGCAGGTGGCATAAATGAAATGTAAAGTCAAGAAAAACAAACAACAAGGCATATTTTAGTTTTAAGTATGTCTAGTAAAGCCTCAAAGACATTTTGCATAGGAGATATGTAATTTTGGAAGGGTTTTGCTAAAGGAAAGGATGAGGCAGCTGGGAAAATCAAACTACCTACTTGTCCTTGCTCCTCCTTTAACCTGTCATTCCTTATCTTGCACTTAACCAACAACAGGTGACTATTAGTGCAGGTTTTCTCTGTTCTCTACAGTCAGTCTGAGAGGTAAGAGCTTCCTTATGCAGTGCAATTTCATTAAGACAGCATCTAGCCCAGAGCCTTCAGCAGAGCAAGACAATTAAGAGCATCAGCCTGAGCATCTAGCAAGGATTTCCTGGATTACAGCTCAAGCTGATTTTACATCAAAGATGAAGATGGCAGATGAACCTACAGATTAAGATTTTTCTCTGTTCCTGTTGGATCTTACTAAAGGCCTAACAGGAAGGATTGCTCCACCTGAAGGATGACGAGAGACATGTACACAGAATGTGTAGTCACCCACCCCTCTTTGCTGGCCTTCATATTTGATGGGTAAAGTAATGTACAGAATAAAGTTGGTCTCGGGTCCCTAAGTTAATGAGCTACATGGAACTTCAAAGGCAAAGCAGAGATCGCAGGAAAACTGGGAAAACTCAGGCAGGATTTTAATGGCCAGGGACCTACTTGCAGTCATGGTATCATCAAATAGAATTCCATTGCTAAGGATAGTCAGGCCTTACAAGCCAAAAAAATTCAATTCTTTGCTCAGCACATGGTGAAAAAGGATCAAAAAGAGGCAGAAATAATATGGGTAAGAAATTTCTGACTCTGCTGACTTCATCAATGCATTCATTAGCACCTTTTCAATTATTAATTGCTCTACTGCTGCAGTTATTACTGATCCATATTAATCCTCCAAGGAACATGAGATGACAACACCGAGTCATGACGACCTTGTCTTTCCATATGCTACAGCTGATCAGGAATTTTCCAATGAAAGAGCTGTTCACTGTAAAGTGTGAATTTTGAAAAATATTTGCCTTTGTTGGAAATAAACACATTTCATTGATTTCTGTTGGAAAGGTCTTTTTGGATCTGACACAGCCTTCCTACAGCTGATATTCATGAATAAGATTTTTCTTGAGGATGTTAGACAAATATGTCCTTTTTCTTCCTGGTAATTCATACAAAGTGAGCAAGAGGAGACTGGGGAACACCTGGAAACAGACTGCATTTTAGGCTGACCCACTTTCAAGAACAATTTTGCCTACACAGGCCTCACACAATATAGCAGATAAAAACAATAACCCCAAACCTTAACAAAAGAGTATGGAAGAATATGGAAGTGATGTGAGGCATTTTTACTTTTCTCATGAGTGTTTGTGACATTTTGCAAGAGTCATGGCTGTATGAAAAGGAAACTTCAGAGATTAAACTTCAGACATGTCCCTGTTATGGGGGGCCGGGACCAGTTTATCACTTTGTGGGTATAACCAAAGCTAAGTATTCTACACTCTCTGTGTTATTTCTGATGGTCTGTTAATAAATGGATCATTTGCAGCAGCTGCCCAGGGCACACCTGACACCTCAGGCTATAAGCTGGGTGTTAAAGAAACCCTTTGAGGCAGAGGAGTGTTTCTTTGTCTCCACACCAATGACAGTTGTGACCACTCCCCTCCAGGGAGGTATTATCACATTCACACCCCGCCTGAGGGAGTCATTTCTGCTACTGGGCCACAATGGACTGGCATAGTAGGCAGCTGCAATGACCTAGACCATCAAAGATTCCAAAAATATCCCATGGCTCACAGAGTTAAAGCACCCACTGTGAAATTCCCTGCTGTGGGGGAGGTACTGGGCATTCCTACCTGAACCCAAGCATATATAATCTTGAGGGTTTGGGACTTCTGATACCACTTGGGTCCAGAGGAGGACCAGAACTCCAGCAGGACTGCAGCTGCCACTCTCTACAAGATTGAGATCATTACTTCGAAAGAACTGCAGCCGTCATCTGGACCAACAGGTTTCCTTTTCCTATTACTTTGCACCCAGAAGGACCACATGATGCTCAGCAGAGAAGCTAACAAACACTGTTCTATTCTTTTCCCAGGGGGCTGGGTTATATATCTGGTTTTGTAAGATAAAACCAGTTTTCTCTATATCATTATATTTATTGTAATCTTTTTAGTAAATTGTAACTCTGACTTGTAATCTGTCTTGAGTTGGGTTTGTTTCTCCTGTCGGTTTACTTTTAAACCAGCACAAGACACTATCAGTTCAACCAAGTATTAAATTAAGTCTGTTGTATTCTGAAAGCAACAGATTCTTCTTTTCAAGATACTTTAAAACGTATCTCTGTCATTTGGTTCAATATCTTCTTCCCAAAGTCCCACCAAGCTCCAGTAAACCTAGGAACAATAGTTCTGTGTGCACTGAAATGCTTTCTAGTATTTTTGTATGATTTTAGGATTTTTGTCTTTCCTTTGCTTTTTCCATACTCCTGCATAACTCAGTACTCTTTCTGCATATTCAACTGGGTAGTGGTTCTGTGCAATAAAGAGTTATAAGTCTGTGATTAATGGTTTTTGAAATGAACACACTTATCCAGTTGGGGAAGTCTGCTGGAAACCAACAACTCCAAGAAGATATTAACTCAGACTTGATTATCATCAAAGTTTTTATTCATCTTTGCATGTGAGATGAACAGTGGTCTTTGGTAGGTTCCAGAGAAACCAAAGAGTTGTTATTTATAATGTGAGAAACAAAGATCAGGAACGGCAGCTAAATGACCCGTGTGTGACTTACAAGGCTAAAGCGGAAAGAGGCAAGAAAATGCTAGGAAAGGGGAAAAAAGTAGAAGGAAAGTCAGAATAGAAAATGAGTGAAAATAAAAAGAGAAAGCTGGAATCTGGTTTTATAGACTGAAATATGTCAGACATAGTAATTTTTATTAATTATTGTTACTTTTATTATTATTACCATCACTATGATTGCTATTGTTTCCTTATCCTTAGCAGTAATAGTACTAAGAGAAATGTGAGGAATTAGGGCAAAAATCCCATAAAAACTTGCAAAAGGCTCTTAAGGGGGGGACAGAAATCTGTTTAACAATTATTGATTCTGGTTGATAGGAAAAGCATCTCCCACAGTTCTACATTCTATTCAAAAAGTAGTGGAAAGTTAATATTTGTGAGTGACTTGGAGGCAGGTATTGTCTTGAATGAAGGTAGACCTAGAGCTGATCAAATAAATGTGAGTACCCCCCAAAAGGGGGTACTCCTTTTCCTCTTTCTAACTAAACCTCTCCATGAAAATGTAAATCCTCTAGAAGAGCCCTGTGGTTTATATTTTTGGTGGCCAGTCAACCTAATTAACAACTGTTCAAAACATTGTCATAAGCTAAAGCCCACATCCTATCTCTAGTAGCTTAAAATCAGGCTGCTTAGTGATTACAAGTGACTTATTACTAATCAGAGGCCCCAAAAACTCACCAGTAATCTGCTGATGAGCAAAGGTAAACTAGGTCCAATGATGCCAGGATAGAAATGGATGGTATATGAAGTTCCTTGAGGCACTGGCTTTGCTGTAGGAGATACCTTCAGAGTGGGAAGCCTCTGAAGATGTTTATTTTTCCTGATGCAGGAGGGATACCCAAGGCTGATATGTTCTATTTGCATTCCCAAATCAGCATCAGAGATGTTCAGGATAGGATGCTCCCATGTATAAATTCTCCCTCTGCTCCCCAGAGGAGCATGGCTCTTTGGGAAAGGGTCTTCATGGCCTCAAAAATCTCTCAATCCAAAGCCACAGAGATGTTTGAGGGTCAGTCTGGACTGGATCACCTACCAGACACATCAGGGAAACAGTGAAAGGATGCAGCTCCAGGCAAAAACATAACTTGCATTTTTGGGTTTTCTGGAGGAAAAGGTGAGTTGTCCTCACTTTTAGTTTAGATATTATTCAGAATGTGGGTTTAATTTAATTTTATTTAAGCAGGATCTAGAAAGCCAAGCTCCTACATCACTTAAATAAATCGAATTTTAATTAAATAGCCAATGACAGGAGCAAGCAGGGTGGGAAGGAAACACGATACCTACTTTTGCTCAGTGGAGCATCCTTTCTCATGGGAAGGATAAGGGAATCAGAATCCCTCTAAGGATGCTATTGAACTCATGGCAGCTTAGGAGAACCAAAAAAAAAAAAAAAATTGCAACTAAACTGTGTAAGAACAAAATATGGACCAACTGAAATAAAATGGATGCTTAGTTCCTAAAGTCAGAATATCATCACATGGAGCAGGTTCTTCCTTTTAACTCTCAGAGGACACTGCTTTTGCTATTCACCCATGTTTTTTCAATTCTCTTTTTTTCCAAATCAGTGGAATTTAATACAGCTAGATTGTATGATAGGCCACAACTATGTTTTCTGAACATTAAGTACAGGGAAATTCCCTGGACTTCCAGGTTTTGTTTGTGTTCCTTTTTCTACAGCTTTATATCCACATGGGAAAGCACTTCCATTGCTGGAAATCACATTGCAAGTGGCCTGTACAAATGATCCTTCCTTAAAGAAAAAACTTTAAGGTGAGTTGGTTTAATAACCATCTTCTGGAGAAGCAATGAAAAACCCTAAACAATAAAGATTTTTGCCTTTAATACTTTTCACCCTCGTATTTTCTAATGAAAAAAGAAAGTGTGAGATGGAAGGAAGGAAAACGTGTTTTTCTCTGATTCATTTGAGTTTCAGTTCATGATGAATGAGCAGGCGTAGTGTGCAGGTAGAATGGATTTTTAGCAGCCAAGCAACTTGTCTGGGTAAGCTTTTTCCTCATCAGTGCCATTTAGCACCTCTATTTTTGGGTGAGACGCTAAAGAGAGAAAAAATGGGCTATGAGAAAATATGCAATGCCATGCCTAGATGCAATTTCCATATGAATTTTTTTAAATCTTCACTTGCAGGATGTCAGATGTTAGGGAACAAACGCAGACAACCACAGCTGCTTCTCTGAAGGAAATCATAAGTACGAGCTCACACTTTTTGTCTGCCTGCCTACTGGTTCCACTCTTGCCTGTCCCATTCCTCCCACTCTGTGTTGTAAGCCACTGATGGATTTTAGCTAAGCCAAAGGAGAAGCGGAAAACAGAAGTAACAGTCTCTGCCAGCTCTGTAAAGCAGCCACATGAAGACATAAGCAAGATGACAGGAAGAACCCCCTGTCTCTTATCAGGTAACAAAACACTCCAGGTAGAAGAGAGAGCTTATCAATGGCCCAGTTTTGAGATGGCCTTCAGTGAATGCTTGCAGTTACAATGAGTCTACAAGTCCTCGATCTCAGTACTCAACAGCACTTGTTGATATATCCTCCTAAAATTGCCTTATCACAACAGAAAAGGTAATGCACAGTGCTGATACTGTAACTCTATAGTATTGATAGCAGTGGCGGTGTTATATCAGCATTTTATTCCAAATTTCTTTTCTGTGTTGTACTCTTTCTTTGTAACCCTTTCTCTTCTCTCTGCTCAATGGCACGGACACAGACACTACACAATGGTTTTGGCAGAGTTTAGTTTTGGATCCTAAAACTGAGAGTAACAGCCAGAGGGAGAAACACTGGGTAGATATTGCAGCAGTGGGCTGGGAGTCAGCAGGCTGAGATTTAATTCCTCATGCTCTTCATCTTCTGTGCTTTTGTTCCTTTCTCTCTAGAATGGGAATAATGAAGTTTCCTTTTTCACATCTTTTCTTCGTGTAGATTGTAATGGCTAAGGTTCCTCAGTAGGCCAAGCAAAGGTCTGATCCTGTGTGAACACTGGGAAAAACCCTCTTTGGCAGGGAAAAGTAGGAAGGAAAATGGCTTCATCTCAGCCAAGAAATCCAAAGCAGATGTTTTGCTATCCTTACCCAGACAAGGCTCAGACTCAGAGAAAGCACCATCAAAATGAGTGCAATCAACTAAGAACCCATCTCCTCTCACCATGCTTCTTCTTGTGCTAGTATACTTTCACACATTGCATGTCATTCCTATAAATTATTAATTATTTTAAGCACAAAAACTGTATCTTGACTTTTTGCTTAATTTCATTCTTTCAACAATCAAGGTCAGATGATGCATTAAAATCTCTTAATTCCAACTTTGAGGAGACAGTCCTTGCAGCAGCTGTAAAGAGCATTCCGTGCCTGTTTGCAATACCTTGATTTGTTTATTTATAAGTTGCCAGATCTTTGTCTGGAAGCATCTCAGGCACAAGGAAAAAAAAAAGAAACAAAACAAATTTATATGTAATGATATATTTTAATGAAATGGGTTTATATTATCCTAAAATTTCTTTACCAACTTTCTTTCCTGATTTTAAAAAATTATTCCAGTATACTTGTCTCTCATAGCTGAAATTATTCTCGAATGGAAGTTTCTACTAAAAAGAATTTAGTTTTATTATTTTGATGGGAAGAAAAGATACCAGTTTTGCATTTAGCTCTTCTCCTTACCATCTCCATTTACATTTTCAGGAGAATTTGGAGCTCAGAAAAGGTGCCAGACTGACAATGCTAGAAATTCAGAGCCTCCATTTATCTGCAGGCTGCTGGGTTTTCCTAGAGTCATAGAATGGCTTGGGTTGGAAGGGACCTTAAAGACC